TGCTTTGATGGTTCCTCCATGTATTATCACGGCTTGAACACTTATTTCTTTTTAGCACTGAATAATATACCATTGTCAGGATGAACCTGAGTTTATTTATCCATTCACGTATTGAAGGGCGCCTTGGTTGCTTCCAAGTTTTGGCAATTATGAATAATCATCCCTGTGCTGGTTTTTGTGTGGACAAAAGTTTTATTTTCCTCTCCTTAAATTATGGATTCCAGTGATGAACAAATGCAATGACTCTCGTTATCATGGACCATATATATTTTTATGTTTTCTTTCAAGCTATTAACTTTACTTTCTCTTATCAAGATGTAAGATTCTTTAGTTTTTTCAACTATCCGACATAAATCTTCTCTTTTGATTATTTTTACCCCCTCATAAAACCGAACCTCAAAATTGACACCAGGGGGCCGGCCCAGTGGCACAGTGGTTAGGTGCGTGCATTCCGCTTCAGTGGCCCGGGATTCACCGATTTGGATCCTGGGTGTGGACATGGCACCGCTTGGCAAGCCATGCTGTGGAAGGCATCCCACATGTAAAGTAGAGGAAGATGGGCATGGATGTTAGCTCAGGGCCAGTCTTCCTCAGCAAGGAAGAGGAGGATTGGCAGCAGATGTTAGCTCAGGGCTAATCGTCCTCAAAAAAAATAAAATAAAATAAACACCAGGGTAATTTTTCATCAAAATGCATTTACAGTACTTTGTAAAATAAAAGATTTTTAGAGACTTAGCGTTTAAAAGCTGAACAAATCTGGAAGCATATTCCTATTTCCTCCAATACTTATTTTGTACATTGTCAAGTCTGTACCTACTGATGTTGCCAGTGGGTGAGCACATTCTATCAACAAGAGAAAAGCTTTTCCATCATTTGGATGATAAATAATAATCACATTCCCATCACTAGATTATATGAACAACTCATTTAGAAACTTTGCACGTGCCTCCTCTGAATGAAATACGTTCACCACCACCCTTTTGTTTTTCAGTTGATTGATTTTGACCTGTGAACAGTTAAAGGAGGTGTAATGGTTCACAATGTACATTTCTGATAATCCAATAGTGGCTCCACACCTCAGGTTTTACTTTTTTCTGAAAATTTAGCATTTTGTAATCTGCCAATGTTGCTTTATTTACTGTGATTTTGGCTGTGCCAGTGTCAAAAGGTGGTCTCCCAATAAGTAATGTATAAAGCATACAGCCCAAGCATTATCTAAGTCTTTGTGCACTTTGAGTTGTAATTTCTGGGGAAAATGTGATTACGAGTTCCACATAACATAGACTGCTTTTTATATGGCATTTTCAATTGAGTTGCTAGTCTCAAATTGGCATTCTTGATGTTCACGTTATACATAAGCAAGAAGTGAGTTCCTGGTGTAATATATCATGAAAATGAAGAGACAACATTTTTGTGATGATCTGGTGCATGAAGTCTTAAGCTTTTTTTTTGAGAAGGCTTTCATTCTGTTCTTTAATATCGTGTCCTTTTTCTTTTATGGTACATTTCTAATACTAGGTACACATAATTGAAATCTTCAAAATAGTAAAAAGCTCTAAAGTAGAAGTATATTCCTATTGGTAGTGTATTTTCACCTCATGTAGGATTCTCTGTACCATTCCAATTTTCCTATACATTATTTTGACTGCAACTTCCAAATAAGTGTGAATGGACTCAGTTCTGTAGACACCAGCAGATGATCCTTTACAAAACAGATTTCCAGCTTTCAAATTTCCCATCTTCTCTCCCACACAGGTCACCGTATTTCCAGGTACTGACTCTGCTCCCATTAAGCTCAATTCCCATGACTGCACCTGCTATGGGAAGACCACAGCCACCAAAAGGTCTCCAAGGCATCTTCCAGGTCAGGGCCATGCCCCCAAGTTCCCATTTTGAAAAGCTTCAGCTGGTTGCCACACATAGCAGTAATGGGAACAACAGTAGGTCTTCTTACCACCCTGCCTCCACTACTCTCGTTATGACAACACAGTGAAAAGTCCTGCATGAATTGGGAATTTTTGGGGGAGCCCATGCAATCTCGTGTGCAGTACTTTGATTGCAAAAGGCAAAAGGAGCAGAGTTTTCTTGTGAGAAAAGTTGTTCCTTACTGGGAAGTTGTACTGTGTAGTGGTTTGACATATTCTGGAGTCAGATTGCCTGAGTTCAACTTTTTATTTTGCCATATTCTTCTAACTGTGTGGCTTTTGAAAGCAACCGAACTCCATTGGGTCTCCATTTGCTTCAAAGTAGCTAGTACTCATCTCATAGGTTCGTTGAAATGATTAAGTGAATTGATACATGTGACACTTTTAGAATAGTAAGAGGTATTTGGAAGAATTAAGGAAATAGTAACTATCAGTACTAATTTACAGATTTAAAAGTTGCTCTATCGGGGACAAACTCTAAATAAGTGTGCACTATATTCTAGAGTTCTGGAGAGGAAGGCTTGCATTGTGTGGACCATTGTGTCTCAGAGTTGGCAAGAAACTTAGATATCATCTAGTGCATGTTTATATGCCAAGTTTTTAGCTTGTCTGAACTTTTGACTCTTCAATTGTTTATTGTCACATAAAACAATTCTGTGGAAATGAGAAAATATCTATCTTTGGCTGATGACGAACTGATAATAAATGTATAACTCTTGACACTAGCTCTTATACAGGGTATGAGGGGTTCGGAGTGGTGTGAACTGAGCAAAATTTTCTCTGTACCATGTAACACTATATTTAACATATTAGAGTGAGAAAAATAAGATATAAATTATACATAAGGAACCTCAATCATTTATTGGGCAAAAGTTCATTAAAGAAGCAAGGGGATAAAGAATAAGAATATTTAACTTTCTGAATCCTTAATATGAAAAAGATACATATTTTAAGCTAAATTCTCCTTACTTACGGAAAACAGCATGTGGAGGAATATACCACTACAAACTCCTGATTTTACTAGGACATAGACTGGGATGGAATTATCGTTAATTCTATTCAAATAGGATCTATGTTACTAAGAATTCATTACATCTAAGTAAAACCTTCTCTTATGGTAGGAAAACACCTTCACTCTCTGGTGACTGCTCCCCCCAGAGGAACACTCACTGTGATGAGGGAATGCCAGAGTAGCAGGACTTCTTTAGAAACATATCCAGGATTCTGTTGTACCTCTCCCAGTCTGGAGAGGAGTGACTTAGAGGAAAATCAGGAATCTGGGTCTCTATTATTTGGATAGAAATGAGAGAATAGACTCTGAAGAGCAAGTGTCCACACTCTCTGTGGAGAACTTGAAGCTGGGTTTCTGTCTATCACCTGCACAGCAACAGCCCAGTGTCAGTGACAAAGCCCCTTGCTTCTTCCCTCCCTCTACCTACTTCTCCTCCTGCAGGTCAGATGGATGTGCTGTTCTAAAGGGGAAAGTGTGGGTGAAGGATCTTGCTGAGGGGACCAAAGATGCTCTGCATCTCAAGGTGATTCAATACTAATTAGGTAAAACCAACCCTGGGGGAGAAACTCCTGAAGTGCAGAAGTGCAGCCCTGTCACGTGCAGCTGTGGAGCCAGAATGATCAGGGTGGCAGATAGCGCAGAAAAAACCTTAACTTGGAGCGAATAAACGATCCTCAGCAATTTACCTCCATCCTAGTAGTACTTTATAGTTTCCTAACACTTTAGCACTATAGTATTTTATTCAGTCCTCACAGGAACCTGGTCAATGAGGTAGGGCAAGTATTATTACGCTCATTTTACAGAAATTCAGAGTGACTTGCCTAAGGTCACAAAGCTGATAGATGTCCAAAATGGAATCCGTGACTTGGTCTCCTGACTCTCCGTTTAATGGTTTCTCACCCGAGTCAAACTCAAAGACATGATGATCTTTCCAGTTATCTCTAAAAATTACAAGCTTGTGCACACACACACATATATATGCATGCATACTTTTTTCACTGTAAATTTATATATGCTCACTGCAGAAACAGTGACAGGAGAATAAAGAAGAAAATGTGTCCATGGGACTTTTGGTGTACTTTCTGGGGAATCAAGTGAGATTTTGTTGTGAGAAGGAAGTTTTTACTTGATTTTATTGGGTTATATTAGAGAAACAATGTTAAAATAGTTTTCAGACGTTTAATTTTAGAAATATGTGACTCCATTTCCCTCCTCAAATCTACTTGGGTGTACTCAACCCATCTCCTCAGAACTGGGCTTTTCATAAATTGGAACTGCTTGCTAATCTTGAACCCATGCAACCACTGTTCCCTTTTTCTCTTCTCATCTTTAAGAGCTTACCCAATTTCTGGCTGACCATCTATTACCTCATGAGGTCCTGCTAAATCATCTCATTTCCTTCCCTTCCCCCTTCTCTAACCTAGTCTACCCCAAGTCTAGAGAAGAAGATGAGAATTATCAAAAAACTTAAGTTCTCCTCTCATTTATAACTAACTGTGTGACCTTAAGTAAGTTACTTCACTCTTCTGAGCCTCAACTTTGTCATCTTTAAAATGAGTTTGGCTCATATGACTTTTAAGTTCTTCTCCAGCCCTAACTTTCTTAGATTCCATTATCAAATAAATTCATGCCAGAGTGTGAGTGCCTGATAACCCTGACTTCCCAGGAGAACCTGTATTTCAAAGGTGACCTCTTCTTGCTGGCCCAGATTAATTTATTCATAAGTTCACTAATCTTTTATATAATTCAACAGATACTTGCTAAGTATCTATCAAGAACTGGGGATGCATGGGTCTGGTAAACAATACAGAGTGTCCCTGGCATCACGAAGCTTATTATGTAACAAAAATACAGACAAGTAAACAAATAATTGTGAAAAAGTGTGATTTTACTATAGGGAAAGTACAGGAATCTATTAGCCAGGTTTGAAGGGTAGCAGTGTGAAGTGGGTCTCATCTGGAGCAATATGTAATAATTATGAATAAAGAAATTTTTAAACATTTTATTATATCAATTTTTATTGACTTTCATCATTACATTCTATAGAATATAGACTATAACACTTCTAATATAATTGCTTTTTATTGTTTTCATACAAGCAATGCACATATATCAGAAAAAATTATTTTGAAATCTTTTATAATGTACTGTTAAGAAGCTGCATATTAATAATTCATGGGCCTGATATAATGAGCAGTCACATTAATATACACAGACATCTTTGTCTTGACAAAATGTACCCATACCTAGGTTTCATTATTCTTCCTTCAATAAGGCGATCTCAGTTGTTCTTCTTACAGACTTTAGGAATTGCATGACATCAGTGCCTCCAGTTCCTTTATTTTCCTTTTCTGATAGCTCTTCAGGTGTTTGGTTTTTCATGGACTGCTGGTGTGCAGGAATCACAATGTACTTAGTAACTATTTGCAAATGGTAGCTTCTCAGGGAGACCATAGCTTTCACACAGTCATTATAAGCTGCCTGCAGGCTATCATTACCTTCTGAAAGGACAAACTCACGGACTGAGGGGCCTGACTCTAATGAGCGAAGAAAGTTTTGGTGAGCTGGTGGCATATATGTTCTCATTTCCTGGAGGAATTCAGCAGCAGATTCTGAAGGTACAAGAGAAGGATGAGTTAGCAGGGAGGCCAAAGCATTCCCCAATCCAGGGGAGAAGGGCAGAGTGAGGTCAGAGCTGGTGGGGGATCACAGGCCAACATTGTAGCATGAAGCAGGAAGGAGTTTACCACCATCCTATTAGAAGGCTATTAGTCTTGCTACTAGTAATGGATAATTGCTGTAAAATATCCTTAATTCTGATAACCACACAAGCTAAACTCTTTCTTTTATAATAAATATTTTTGTTCGTACTTCCTTTCTCACTTTCCTACTGTATTTGATCCTTCTAAAAAGCCAGTGATATAGACAGGATATATATATAATCTATACTTGACAGGTTACAACACTGAGTCCAAGAGAGTTTAAGGGATCATTTGTAAATAATTCAATGAACTAAGAAAAAAGCCTATTTCCACCCAGCCCAATGCTTTTCCCTTTGACTATTAAATACAAGTTTAGGAAAACAGAGAAAGACAGAAAGAAGTTCTTCCTGGAGCTTCTTCCTCTGTGCCATCTAAGCCCCTAGAAGGAATATAGTGAATGTGGCTCATCTTTAAATGTTGGTGCAGACATTGCCCCTGGGCTGCTGGGGAAGCAGGATGGAGGAGCAAGGGCAGTGCCAAGCCTCTCTTTGTCGCTGAGGTCTCCACCTCCTCAGCTTCAACTCATAGTCAGTCTCATTTGCAGGTGACATTCTCTTTCTGAATCTGATCATACATTTTCAGAACATGTGAGATTAGCTCCACCACAGCCAATCAGACCTCATATACATGTTCAAATGTTAAGATCAAAAGGGTGATGAACTTGGGTTTGAGTTCTGGCTTCACTGCTTTCTAGAAGGTTAACAGGGAGCCAGTCACTAATCCTCTGCAAGTTTTTTCTTCTTCATCTGTAAAATGAGACGATGGCAATAAAGTCTCTATTGTATTGATTCTCCTAAAAGCATTGGTAAGCTCAGATGAGATGCTGATGGGGAGGTAATTTTTAGATACTAAAATACTATTTTGTTAACATAAGATATGATTATTAGTTGCCATTTTCTACTCACTTTCACCAGCACTCTGCTTGACCCCCAGCAGAACATCGAAGCACTGAAAGATGCTGCTTTGGGCTGCACTGCCCCCAGCGAACTTCTTTGGGGTGTCCCAGACGCCTTCATAGAGCAGACCTTCTGACAGCTGGGGGTTGCCTTTCCAGCTAGGCCAGGAAGGAAAGAATAACTTTTATTTGAATTAATTGGCAAATTTTCACATTTAAATCTTGTAATGGAGGATGAATTGAAGGTGATGTGAGATAGATTTCATTTTTCTTCTTCCAGACTTCCCCTTCCACTCATGCTCATGCATGAGAATAATAAATAAAATGATTTTGAGCAAATTTGGCATATGTATTCTGTGAAAGGAATTTACCTTTGCTCTAGCAAAGCTCAGTCCACTCTCTTTAAATGACTAGCTTTTCTCTCCATAATCCAGAGCATGCCTGGCCAAGTAATAACAGAGTCTATTCTTTCTCTACAACATGTATTTTAGGGTGTAAATTATTTCCTAAACCCAATGGAGAGTGGGGACCATGAGTGGGAATTTGATGTGTCCTTTGGGTTAATTGTTTAAGAGAAAACAAATTCAAGCTTAAGTCTACATACCCAGACAAGTATATGCGAAGAATACCAAAAAATTCTTTTGGGTCCACGTAGTCTGTAAAAAGATGGGATGTGTTTAATTAAGCAGCATCAGAGATATTGGTGAAAATCAAGATATTGTAAACCACTGATAGTGGATTTCAGCATAGACTGCAGCAAAGGCATGAGGTCAGTCTGTGCTCTCTCCCAGGCGAGCCCTGCTCATCTCCTGTGTCCAGTGAATGGCTGAATGGGATCTACCACAGGGCTAACACACAGCTTGTGTCAAACAGCATGGGCCCACCAACCAAGCATCCTCACGAGACCAATTAAACTGTCAACATTTCTTTAAGGCTACTTCATGTGCTTAGTGATATAACAGATAAACTACTCACATAAAGAAACAAACCTAAACAAAAGAAAAACAGGAATAAAAACACCAGGAGCCCCATGGACCACATCCCTGGGTTTCCTTCTCCAAAGTTTGCTAATGTCTTTGATTTGAAGGTCAATCTTCTTGCCAAGCAACTCAAAGCCCAGTGATGTACAGCCCGCTAGGGCATATTTCCTTTTGCAAATCCTGTTTATGTACTTTTTTGGTTATTCTTGTATTTTAGCTATTAGTTTTGCAACAACCTTTGAGCTCAATGGCTTTTCTCTGTTGTATCTTAGTTAACTTCTAAAAAGCATAATTCATAGAGAGCTCCTATCAAACAGAAGCTAAGTTTTTCAGAACTTAAAACAGCCTGTACCTTTGGCAAGTTTCTCTATCGTGTTTAATGGGAGGCACGGATGTTCCTTAGAGTTAAATAGACCTACCTTGGAATTCTGGCTTCATTAGTTACTACCTATGTACTTAGGCCATTTATCTTATCTCTCTGAATTTAGATTCCCTTATCTATAAAATGGACATAATAAAACCTACCACATGGAACGTATAATGATTTAGTGAGATAAAGTAGACAAAGTGAAAACACACTACTAAGTGAGGGTTGTTTTTGCTTCCATTTTTTTTCAACAACTCTTACATCTCAGATAATCAGAAACTTTTGACTGCTGGCCCAGAATGTTGTATGGCATACAATACTTGCCATGAATTTGGTGAAACACTTCAAGGGCGTTGCGTAGACAAGAAGTTATATCAATCAGTGCCTTTTGCAAAGTGTCCTGGTCCTGATGTTGTACTGCTTTGAATATAATCGGAATTTCCTTAAAAAAAAGAGAAGGCGAACACTTAAGATTTCCTAGCACTAAACATTGACATAAAATAAAATTCTCCTAAATCTTAATCCCTAAATTAAATTTGAGATTTCCGTTTCTTTCTTGGGCTGAGTACCCTCCAATTGTTTGACTAATTTCCTTATTTTCAATTAGGCCTGGATTTGTCTTTATTCATTTATCATTTAGAAATGTTTATATAGTTTTATATATTTCTATTTCTAATAGTCAAAACCACTGAATTTATGTCACTATGTGATATAGTTACAATGCCAAATTGCATTCAAAATATTTCTCTCTTATTGGGGTTTCTAGTTTGATTGATTTATTTATTTAATATTCTGGCTCCTACATTTTATATTTTAGGTGATACACAAAAATAAATAAAATATTTATGTCTATCAGATGATCCTTTACCTCCAATTAAATAGTCAAATGCTGTATTTAGTTAGGATAAAGTTACTTCTCGAGTCATAGAGCTCAGTTACTAAGTGATTGCTCTGCTTGTGTGAATCAAGATACAAAGTTTCCAGTGGAGATGGACATACTTTGATTGCAGAAGCAGCTGCTAGTTCCACCAGTAAAGAAATCAGGAAGAATCCTTTACCGCAGTCCCCACCAGGAAATGAGAACAGAATGTCCATGTTCCTAAAGAAATCAAAGAAGTCAAGAATTTAGCAAAAATCTTGGTATATTTATTGACGACTTTATAGTTTTCAAGTATTTTTCATTTATTCTATTTTATTTTCAAAATAATCTTGTGAGATCATTATGGCAGGTTTTACTATCTCCATTTCACAGCTGGGGATATCAATGTCAGGTCCTTTGTCTAAGATCATATGATTCATAGTAGATTTTAATAGTAGATTAAGCTGGGACTTGAAATTCCATTCTAGAACCTATATACATATATATGTGTATATATATATATATATATATATACACATATATATGCTCAATGTTGATAGAGATATTTGCTTTAAGGTATAATTTTCAGAAGTGGTCTTTTTGCTTAAATAAATATATTCATGTCCGCATTTTTATCTGGGAACCTGATTCAGTTTCTCTGCCATGCAAAGGGATTGACTGGGGAATTCAAATAACTGATTAGATCCTATTTTCTTTCTTATTGAAGTTTTGCATTGGTGCAAACATGGCTTCAGTATCTGTGTAGCTATGAGTTTTGTGCTGGTTAAATTTATGGTTTCTGAAGGCAGACCATTTCTGCAGCTTGCTTGCTGTGTGACCTTGAGCAAGATATGTCATCTGTTTTTGCTTCAGTGTTCTCATCTGTAAAATGGGACTGATGATATCATCCTCCCATTTAAAAACCTTCCGTAGCTTTCCATTTTTTTAAAGACACTGTTTAAATCCCATGTCATAGCCAGAAGTCCTACATAATCTTCTTTCAAAATTTATTTCTTTATCCCTTTCCCATGTACTTTCATCATTCTTCGTGCAGTAGCAACACTAGCCTTCCTTCACTTCTGATAATACTCCAAGATTTTTGTCACTTCAAGGCACTCACTCTTGCTGTTTCCTCCATTATGAACACTCCCATCTTCCCCTCCTTCTAGTTAACTCCTACTCACTCTTCAGGGCTCAGCTTAAACAACGTGCTGCAGGGGTTCCTCCTTCATCTCTTTGTTTGATTAGAGCTCCCAGTACTTTATCTTCTTACCAGTTTCTCTTAATCATATAGCAATTTACATAATTTCCATATGTCTCCTTTCCTCCACATTAGTCCAGCTTCACCAGGGCAGGCTTATACCTATGATATTTACCTTTGTGTCCTTAACTCTTAGCTTCTGCTTGGCACATAGATCAAAAATAGGAAGGATTGGGTCAAAAAGAACAGGTTTATGTTTCTGGCCGCTGAGGCCATTGTCATAAATACACAAGTGTGTGTGCTTTTGTATTTATATGTATTAATTACATTTGTATATGTGCAAGTCCTATTTTTGCATGTATCTATAGCTATAATATCAAGCAGACACAGTCATATCACAGTCGTAGATACAATTAAGTGCTGGTATTATTTGCTCTTTAAACAGTTATTTTAATTACTTTTTCCCTGAGTTTAATTGGTATTTTAAAAAATGCATTTGGAGAATATGATAAACCTACATTTACTTTGGATAACAAGCAATTCTTAGACTAAAATGAGAATCAAATACTTACTCATAAGTCATGGGCCTTATGAAAGCAGACATGAAGCAATGGACCAGTTGGAAGAGAGAAAGAAAATCAATTTAAAAATCAAATGGTTTTGAGTTATTGTTATTAGATTTACTACTACTGACCTAACAAAGGTAAGACATAATCAGATAAAAAAAGAAAAGCGTATGTTTTTTATATTTCTTAAGTAAGCATTACAAACCCTTAACTTAGGACTTTATAAGTGAAATAAAAAATTAAATACGCAAGGACCAAACACATGAATAGTTGAAACTAGTTGTAACTAAAAAGAAACTTTTATAGATCAAATCCTTTCCTTTTGTGGTATCCTCGTGTCTAGGATACTCCTCTGCAGATAAATGCCCAGAGCCCTGGGGCACACAGTTCTCTTGTCCCCTTATTGTAGCAGATCTTATCACTAAGTGGTTAGTGCTGCTGAAGATGTGTTGACTCTTAAATGCAACTGGATAGTTACAAATTAAATTTGTAGAATCTCAAAAACATGTTAATCAAGGGCAGACAGACACAAAAGAGTGCATACTCTATGGTTTCAATGAGATGAAATCCAATAACAGAAAAAACTATTTTTTGATATGGCAAATCAGAATTATTTATCTGGGGGTAGGAAATGGAATGAAAAGAGCCACAAAGGAATTTTCTGAGGCGACAGAAATATTCCGTATCTTGTTTAGGATTACACATGTGTATATAACAGTCAAATTCATCAAACTGAACACTTAAGATTGGTGCATTTCATCATATGTTAATTATACACTTCTCTTTCATATATGTAGAATACATTCGTAGTTACAGATACACCAGTCAAGGAAAACACACCCCCAAAACAGGGAAGGAAGATGTGCTGCCAAAAATTAACCCAGTGGCTAACACCCTGATGAGTCTCACAGCATGCACTCCTTCATTCCTATGATAATCAGTGTACCTACCCGCTGGGATCCTTTTTCTTCCAGTTGGCCAAGACACAGTCTGCATAAACCAGAATAGGAGGCAGTCCCAGCTTCTCAGAGAGTCTGCAGTAAGGAATAGCAATATTGCTTGGCAGGACCTAATTAAAACACAGTATTTAGTATTAGCCCTTAAAGTGTTTTACCTTTTCTACTGCATCCTGAGTGCCAAACATTAGCTGTTCTATATAGAATGGCATCCTGAAACCAAACAAACATAATTTTCTCTTCCTCCGTTTCATAACTTAATTCCGGTAATTGTTAAATGTTTACATTTTGGATTTGTGTTGATGTGGACATAATCTGATTATAGAGAGCAAAAAGAGGTAGAGGACAGGAGGAAGAAAGGCTGTATCCTTGATTGTCTAATGGCCTGTGAGTTATTCCCAGTCATTCATTCATCCATCCGTCCCATGAATATTTGTTAGGCAACTCCTCTATGCAAGGTACTCATTATCCACCAGCAATGCAAAGATAAAAGCAATTGTCTCATAGAAGCTCAAAGTAATTTGTAATTATAACTTTTGGATGTGATACATACTAGCAGTGTAAACAGATTGCTGCTCTTGGAGCACAGAGCTGACAGAAACTCTCCTGGATGATTTTTTATAAAACCTCACGGAAGAGTGACATTGGTGCTTGGCTTTGAAGGCTTACCTGTGTCGGAACGAGGAATCTCCTTTACCCTTGCTTTATAGTTCCATGCAGAATATATAAATTGGACTGAAACTTTTGGTTTATCTCAGCTGTTTCACTCACACTTCCTGAAGGAGGATTAAAGTCTCACCTAATTGTTGCGTTTAGGAGTGAAACTACAGCTCAGCCCTCTTTTCTCCTCAACTCTTCTTTTCCTGAGCCTGTTATTCATAGAATTTTGCTCTGTGTTTGGCCATATAGCAAAAGGCTCCTACTTCCAAGGGTCAATCCTGATGGGTAGGCACACTCAGCAGGCCCATTTTTGCCACATACTCAAGCCATGTTCTCCAAATGCTCTACTAGTCATAAAGCTGACATTTTATTCTATATCTGCCTGACTTCATCTGACTATAATTTGGTTTTTATATTTGGATGGTCTCGTGTAATAATTAAGGATATCCTTGTCATCAGCGACCTATGGTTCGAATTTGTCTGTCTAACCAGGCAAAGGACAGGGATGCGTGGCCCACCTGGCATGGTGGGTGGTGGGACTTCTGTGTGACTATGTGGCCCACTCCACAGTTCTTTGAAAGTCAGGGGGTCCACAACCCAAGTGGCTTCAGATTAGCTTAATACTTGTAGATATGGTTTAGGCAAGAGAACACAGTGTTACAATAGAATCATTGACTCTAAGTATTAAACACCTGGATGTGTGCTTCCCGTTGCAGAGCTTGTGCTTCTGGGAATTCAGACATTTTGATTGGCAAATGATTTGCACATGTTTCAAAAGGAAACAACTCTTGCCCCTCTCTGATTTAGAGAAGAGATCAAAGGGAAGCAAAAAGGGAAGAAGTTGAATTGAATAATTAACTTGAAATGACTCGGGAAAAAGAAAGGAAATGTTCAAACACATCTTAATGTATTAATGACCTTCATGAAGATGCTAAGAAACTCAGATGCTAATTTCTTGTCCATTCTCAAACAAAATGTGCCTTATATTGATGTATCTTATTTTTTACCCATTTATTTTCTCTTTTCAACAATTTCCTCACTTAAATATTTTTATCTTTTTATATATCTATTTTTTTTTGCTGAGGAAGATTTGCCCTGAGCTAACATCTGTTGCCAATCTTCCTCTATTTTGTATGTGAGCCACCACCACAGCATGGGCACTGACAAGTGGTGTAGGTCCATGCCTGGGTACCGAACCTGGGCTGCTGAAGCAGAGCACAGCGAACTTAACCACTAGGCCACTGGGACTGGCCCTACATAGTTTTTTTTTTATTACTATCTTCTTTTTTTTTTATTGTGGTAACATTGGTTGATAGAAGTATATAAATTTTGGGTGCACAGCCTTATATTTCAATTTCTGTGTATATTACATCATGTTCACCACCCTACTGCCATCTTCTAAGGTCCTTTTCAGAAAGACGTGGTATACAAAAACTGGATACAATTTAAAAAACACATTTTCATGTTTTCTTTTTTACTTCTTATTTCCAGTCTGGTAAATTCAGTATCTTTTGATTATGTCATGTACATTCTGGTCTCCACATTTTTTGTTAGTCCTCTCTTTCTTTCTTTTCTTCTCCTCTTCTGCTTGGATAAGCTCTCCCAGTCTCTCAAGAAGTAATGAAAGTTGTACTTCTTCCTTGAAGCATTTCATGATCATGTCAACTACTAATTAGTTCCTCTGGACTCTCATTCTTCTGCACCTATCATATGCTGCCCTTCATTATGGGTGCTCTTTTTGTATGCAATGCCCATGCATTTAGCTAAACTCAGATTCTAGCAAGTGTAGACAGACTGTGTGCTTAGCTAAATTTTAAGGTAGGTTGTAAGACTAGAACTAATCTTAAACTTTTTTGTATCATCACAGAATCTAGACATGACAGTTTGACAATTATAAGGAAGTATAAGTTGCTCTCATGATTATGCAAAGCAACTTCTTCCTCTTCTTTATATTAGGGGATGACTCATCACATAGGTGGACCTTATGTGTTGTCTTATCTTTAAACAGGGCATGCAAACAAAAACAAGATAAAATAATTACTTTTGTCAAAAAAAAAAAAAACTTTCACTAAGTGGCAGAAAGTGCTTCTGGAATCTCTTTGTTTGTAGTTTAAAGGTTGAGTATTACAGTCTGTATTGGTTTCATGTGATTAGGGGTGCCTGATAAATTCAAGATGATATTATTTTAAATCTAAAGTTACCTACTGTTGATAAGAGTAGAGTGAAACTAATATATCTTTCTATGTTGGCAGATGTAAGATAGCACTTTAGCATTAACTAAGAAGAGCCATAAAATGTTCATATCTCCCAAAATTCATAGAAAAAAGTGGTTCACATTCAAATATATTGATTGTAGTGTCATTTATAATGTTAAAATATTAAAAATAAGTAAGGTATTTATCAATAGAGGATTGAATAAATAAAGTTAGGGAACTCAATGAAAAATTAGAAAGTGATTTCCAATGATGACTAGAATGATTGTGTAGTAACTAACAAATGTTTACAATATAATTTAAGTGAAAGAAGCAGGATGTCTATGTATATGCATAGGATGGAGCAACTCTGTTATATAAGTAAAAGACTAAAAATCCAATAATGGTACCAGTTGACATGCTAAGTCAGTGAATGATTGTTTTCTTTTCCTTTTTTTCCCCTGTTATCCAAGCTTCACAAAATGCAGTTATAATACTTTTCAATTTTTTTACATTTAATGTAAGTTGAATGTAACTTATCGTGGAGCACAAGAAATGTTAGAAAATCTCCATACCTTACAGATATCTCCATCACCTTTATTCCATACATATGCCATGGTGATATACCCCAGGGCCAGATGTGCCAGGCGCTGCGACTTGTGCCCTTGGAGGTCATCAATGCTGAGCATCTTTAACTGAGAATAAATGGAAAGACTGATTCAATCTCTATGGGTGACATTAGAGCTTCAAAATCCAGTTAAAAATGTTAAGAAGCTATAATAGAAAACAAATGTCTTCTTTTTCCAACCTTCTCAACTTCTGCACGTAACTGGTCCTTCTCAATCAGTGCTGGCAGATTTTTAGCAATGGAAATCCAGTCATCATAAGGGTGAGGTAGTTCCTCCTTGAAAAAAGTAAGTAGGACTTTTATTTACAGTGCAAGTTATTGTAAAATAGTTTTGCCTCCCACTGGTAGTTGATTTTGCTTCTAAATCAGTTCTGTGCAATGCTGCCCTGACACACACTTACCTGCCAAGTAACACCAGCCCATGCCCTGTCATCTGCGCATTCAGGCCTCAAGACCTTCTCTGTGCACCTCCTCTTCCTCTCTCCCCAAGCGCTCTCATCTGCCTCTTGCTCAAACGTCACCTCAAAGGTTCCACTAAAATCTTCCTGACTACTACCCATATGCCCAATTATGACTTCCATGGATTATACCTTTTCACGTTGTTAAGTGACTTATTATCGGCTATTTCTTTTTCTTCTTGGGTAAATTTTACGTTTTTTTTTAATAGAATAAAAATGAGACATTAAATGTCAGTAGCAGACTAGGCACTTGAGTCAATAATTTCTCATTTAATTATTATAATGACCAAAAAAATTGATTGTTATCTCCATGTCATAAATAAGGAAACCAAGACTCAGACAATTCATGTGACTTTTTATATATAGTTTATTATGATTCAAACACAAATGTTTCCGACTCTCAAAAATCCATGCTGCTTTTTACCTCTCACTACCCAATGGTAAGGATTTTATCCTGCCTTTAATTCTTTATTTCTTACAGAACCTGGCACAGTACTGGTTATGTAGGAGATGCTGTATATATGCACAGTGATTACCTGCTTTGTACCATAGGCTTATTTTTTGCCCAGTAAATGCACATGAAATCCAAATAAAACTGTCTCCCTGAATCTCATCATATTTACAATCTCATCTTGAAGGAAAACATATGAACAAAAGACCTAGGCAATACCCAGAAGTAAGATTCCGATCACTGAACAACTCCCCCTATGCCCTGTCCCCATGCCTCCTTCATTAGGCTGCTGCCAGACATGCCCTTAGGCTCATCAATACTGAACTATGGGGATGGAGTCAAATCGAGAGATTAACTCAAACCAACATGTGTATTTTAAGCATCAAAACAAAGTTAACATTATAAGTAAGCTATAAAACAAGAGGACAAATGTAACATAAAATTCCAAGATTTTGATGGGCTGCAGATGATTGGCCAGTCTTAATCTGTTAGGGCAGCTTGATAGCTATGAAAGATATAGGCTGTATGTTCACGAGATAGTCACCTTTCTCGTTTGCTCTGAATTTTTCTCCCTAACCACACAAATGCTGTGCTCTAATGTTTTCAGTAATACATATATATTTTTTGGTGTGTGTTTCACTGTGCAGCACACTCAAATATTTGGTTGCTGCAATTTTCACCAAACAACAAAGTTTTTTTGTTATATGTGATGACTTGTGTCCTATTTGACAGAACTTTCAACAAATGTAAAATTCAATCAATAATATACTTCTGGTTCAGAGGATGGCTAAATGGTATAAATTAATGAACAACACGGTGGGCCATTCAACTTCTGCTAGATTAGACAATGCATTTTGTATCTATATGGAATTAGAAGACATAATATTTTCCTTTGGAATAGGAAGCTGATAGATTAAAAGAGATGAAATGGACATTTTTGAGCTCATAATCTCCAGAATCTTCAGTGGAGAAATAAAAGTAACTCCTATTTGTGTGTGTATGTGTGTGTGTGTGTGTGTATCAGGAGGCTGAATCTAACTTCCTAAGCATCTTAAATAGCAGTGATATTTTTTAAGTAGCTGAAGAAGAGTTTGTTTTGCTTTAACCCATGGAATCTATTCTAGAAGTCTCCATAATTACCACGATTGTTTTATTTTTTAAGAGAACAGACTATTTGGAGGAAAAAAAAAGAATAAATTTGATATGAAGTTTTGTAGTTTCTGAAAAAGATTATTTTTTTATTGTATCATTGATAAGTACGTGCTTGAAACCCTTTAATCTTGGCAATTTTGTGTGTTTGTATGGAGGGGGAACGAGTCTGAATATTATTGATTTTCAAATATAAAGTAAACTAGATGCTTTTAGCAATAAAATTAAGACACATTCTTCATGTTTTTAAATTAGCTTAATAATTTGAAGAGGAAAATTAGATTGGGAGGAATTTGCTTTAGACTTACCTGTATTACACAAGGTATTTACAGGATGTTATTTCTAAGTACAGTGTGATTGAAATCTCTGACTAAAAGTATATTTATTGCATTTAAAGGTGCTCTCTAGAGTGTGGACGCTAATTGTTTGAGCCACAAATAGAGATACGCTGGTGTACAGAACTGTCACAACATGAGTTGGCTCCTAGAAATCCTCTCCTTTAATCTCATGTAACTTGTTAAATCCAAGGGTGGAAAAAAAAAATCAATGCCTTATGGTCTCTTCTTCTCTTAAGAAGGGGAGCATAGCATAATGGTTTTAAGATCATGGACTCTGGAGCCAGACTGGTAAGGCTCACATCCTATCTCTACCACTGATAGCTGTGTGAGTTTGGATAATTACTTAAATTCTGCAAAGCTTACTTTTCTCATCAGGAAAATGAGGTTAATAATATACATAACTTTTAGAGGAGTTGTGAACATGGAATAAGTTAGTATGTGTAAATTGCTTTAAAAATGCTATATAGGGGCTGGCCCCATCGCAGAGTGGTTAAGCTTGTGCACTCTGCTTTGGCAGTCCTGGGTTTTGCTGGTTCGGATCCTGGGCGCAGACACAGCACTGCTCATCGAGCCACGCTGAGGTGGTGTCCCACATAGCATAACTAGAAGGGCCTACAACTATAATATACAACTGTGTACTGGGGGGCTTTGGGGAGAAAAAAGAAAAAAAAAAGATTGGCAACAGATGTTAGTTCAGGGCTAATCTTAAAAAAATGCTATATGAATGTTTGATAATTAAAATATTAATGATAAGATGGTTTTCATGGCATTCTTTGGAAGACAACTTAGGAGAATATAGGTTTTAAGGTAAACATTTACTCTACATGCCTTACACTTTGTAGGCAAAACTTGTAAAAAAGAAAAGGTACTTCAGACTCTCTCTTGAATCTTATACTTAGTAAACAACAAACAATGTTAAGACAACACTAAGTTGCTTGATGTGCCATCTCAAAAAAACCAAATCAAAGTAGGAACACATCCTTTGTACAATTTAAGGTAAATCAGCTGAGAAATGGAGTTCCTTTAACTCATGGATCATTTATTACTTTGTTTTTTTCCAAATGCCCTCTGAAAATGCAATTGTATTAAACCAAAATACTTCTAAAGTTTCCTTATCTCATCACTCTCTGTATCTGTGTAAGATAAGTAAGAATTGCATCTAAGACTAAATTTCTAGGCAGAAAATTTTAAGAAAGTTAAGCGAGACCCATTTATTAAAACTCTGCCTCTAATTTAGGCACTGCTTTACCCTTTGTTCAGTAGAAATTACCTCACAACATTTGCTCAATAGAAGTTAACTTGTGCAGGTAAGTAATGATAAGAAAATATTTTTGCCCATATTTCAGTGCTCTTTCTTACCAGTGGATTTGGCAGAGCAAAGCCCACATCTTCATCTATGTGGTATTCTTCATCAATTTTCCAAGAACTTTCCACTGGAGATGCCTTATCATGTGCCATTCTTGCAGCCCACTCCTCTGGTCCTCTTCAGTGTCTGAGCAGTTTCAAAACACCTATTTATTTCAGAGGCTGCCATAGCCAGTAACCACAAAATATCACGTAGTCAGATAAGAAATGACTTCCACTTTTGGAATACTTTCAGTTTCTTTCTTTCTCTGTTTGTAATTTGGTAAATAGTAAAATTATAAAAGCATCACTTCACACTGTTCATCATATGATGAAACTGAAAACTTATATTCCATATCAAATCTTTATCACTGGGAGCATTATTTGTTCAGTGCCCTAGAGAAAGTGAGAAAGGACTTGATTGAAATAAAAACCACAAAAATAGGTGATTGGAAAGGAACATTTTTATGTCATGGGAACTTTCAAATATGTGAATTAAAATAATAAATTTGATCAAGGCTAAGGTCCTACACTATTATTTAATTATCACTGTCATCAGCTTTCTTTTAAGCTTCCAGGATTCTATGGACATATTAGTGTCCTGTTTCAGTAGTCTTGGAATATAACCTGTGGTACACTGACTCTGAAGTAGAAAAAAATGAGAGCACATAAACAAATTAGAAAGATAGCACTTCTCCACCTCCCCGTTTTTCTTACCCAGTCTTTTATCTGTGTTCACAATGATATAGTTCTTTCTACTTCATATTCCTCGTAAGTCATTTTTAGTAAGATGATCCTGCATCTCTACTATATCCGCCTGCTAAGACTGGTGAGGTAACAGTCCTTCACCTTTGGAGACTTTGTAATATGTTAATAGTTGAAAGAAAAGATACAGTATCTTGAATATGTTCCTTTTAAAATTCAAACTAAGACTGCATTTGGTAAAGGTTTTCAGGGTGTATGCAGGTCTTTGATCACTCCCAGGCATTGTTCAATCTTAGTAATAAAGCTGAAGCAACAGCCATATCATTCCAGTTGATGATCAAAAGGAGAAAATAGAAGCAGTTAGTGCTCAGTACATTAAAAGACAATGCAGATTTGTCATCCAGTTTATCAGTACTTGAAATAAATGTCAATAGTACATGGCTTTAACTACATTCTAGAATGGTCCTCACATTATTCTTTCCTATTACATTATGAAATTTCTAATGATGTAGTGTTACAAGAACATGTTCTGTTTATAGTAAAGATAAGGGAAACTGAAACCAAAATTATATAGCAAAGAGACCATGGTTGCTAAACTCTTGTAAAATGAAATGTTCATGAGGCTGATACGTTTGAAACCAGGCCAATGGAAAAAATCAAGAAAAAATGTCACATTGTCCTGTCATATCGATATGGAAGCCAAAAATACCAAGAAAATATTGAGAAGTAGAAAATGTGTGGTTACTCCTATGAATTTTCCCCCTTGTACTTGAATTTTTTTATGGATGAGTCAAAACAGAGGCATGAAATTTTAGATGCTCTGTCTTGGAAAAATCTCTGAGGATTGATTTTTTTAAGAAGCATGGCTTGATAAAACTTTTTATTGACTCTGCTTATCCAGCTACTTCACTAAATCTATCCTGCTTTTAACTGCAGAAACAATAATACTTTACTGTTTTACTTTTATCTCTACCTTTTTAACTGCTTCAGACTTCAACACCTTTCATATTTCTGAAACTACATTCGCACTTGATCCTCAGTCTTCATTGATCTTTATTTCTATTCAACAATGATCACATCTCCTTGAAAATCCCTTTTCACATGGGGTCAGAAGAACATCTTAATCTTACTATCTTGTATAGGTTCTTTTATCTTTTTCTTTAGCTTTTTACCTGTGGCCACACCATTATGATAGAAAACTCCTGAAAGTCAGAGCTCAGCCTTTTGCTCTGTAGACTCTTAGCTTTGAGATTTTCTATGGATCTGTCTGCCTTGTGTATATCACCTGTTTGATGACTTGGATAATCTCTTCTCTATGATGATTTTACTGCCTGACTTATCTCCATAGCTATCAACTACATTTCCAACCACCTGGTGAACATCTCCATCTGAAAATCCTGTTACCCTGTTTCATTGAGTAGTTCATTGAGACCAGGAAAATTATCAGTAGACCCACAAAGAGACTTTTATCCAGGACCATTATAAATACAACTTTATTCCCTTATAACATGTCATCCTCTATAACAAATCCAACTTCCTCTCTGCCAATATGTTATGTTAATTCATAAGGAGTAGTTTTGTTTTAAGAATAAAAGAATTCTCAGTTAAAAAGTCAAGTGATTGAGAGCAAACAAGAAGAATGAAAAAAGTCATTAAAATTTTAACATCCACTGACATTCACCATTAATATTTTGGTGATAATGTTTTCCATTATTTTTTGTGCAAATTAATAATATCAAATTTTCCTGAGCACTTACTAGTGTCAGGAATTTTCTTAAAACTTTGTTTATAATAAATAATTTAACTTTTATTATTGTCTTATGAGGAAATCTTCATGACATCCCTAAAAGGGAATGAGGGTAATTTGGGATTTTCTGTGCCTCTAGTTTCCTGAGCAAAACAAAATTAAACATTCCCTTAAGAAATTAAACATCACTTGGACCCCAAAATATTTTATACAACTTTGTCCACCACTTTTATAGACATCTGACAATTACTAAATAAATATCAGGCACACTATCCAATACAATGGAAAACAGACTATAGAAATGACCCAAAGGGGATTTGATAAAAGTAAAAGCAAACAAAGACTTAAAAAAAGTCATTTGTTTAACATATTCATTAAAAAAAGACAAGATTGGGAAATTTTGTACAAAACATGAAAACCAAGTGAGTATTCTAGAATTAGCATAATTGAGGACAGAATTAATGAACTTGCAGATATATCAGAAGAAAATGCAGATTAAAGCCTAGAGAGAAAAAAAAAGATGGAAAAGAGAAGAGAGTGAGAGAGAGAAGAAGAAAGAGAAAGGTTAGAAGGAGAATAAAACACACAGAGAGGCAGTGTGGTGAGGAAATCTAACACAGACACAATCTGTATCTCAGAGGAAGAGAAGGGAGAACATGCAGAGAAGCAATATTTGAAACAATAAGATTGAGAAACTTTTAAACATCAAAAAAGACACTAAGTCACAAATAGACAGACAAAACATTCAAAAGGGTTACATGAAATGAAAACCATACTTACTTATATAATAGTAACAGCTCAAAACCAAAAATTTTTAAATTTTAAAATGATCTAGAAAAAATAAGTTACCTTCAAAGTAGGTAAAAATGCTAACAGCTGAATTTCAAAGAAATGATTGAGACCTGAAGGCAATGGAGTGATGAAATGCTGAGAAAAAAATATCGAAACAGAATTATATATTCACAGAAAATAATACTCAGGAATGTAAATAATTTTTTTTTCAGTTAGGCAAACAAAAGATAGGAATTTATCACCAGCAAGCCCACAGTCAAGGAAATATTAAAGTTTTATGTTTGTGCGTGTGTTTTTGCAGAGGGAAAATAATTTTAGAAGTAGCAACATATGAAGAGCAATGAAAAGGATAACTATCTGACTGAACCTAAATGAATGTCTATAAAATAATATAATTCAATAATAAGTCATTGTGGAGTTAGATAAATTGAATTAAAATATATCACAACAATAGCATTAATATGACAAGTGATATAAATGGTATTAAAATTCTTTCATTTTCTGCAAAGATAAATAATAACTAACTTATAAGGGTTTTGAAAAGTTGCATATATTTATTTTAATCTCTAGGGTTACCAATAGATAAATGGTGTAACCATGATAAGCAACAAACCAGTAGATAGAAAAACTGATTAATAAATAAATCTTAATCAATACAAGAGAAGACATAAAAAGATAGCTAAACAGGGCTATCAGAAAGAAAGAAAACAGTTTAATGGTAGATTTAAAATCATATATATCTTGGGGCTGGCCCCATGGCTGAGTGGTTAAGTTCATGGGCTCCACTTTGGTGGCCCAGGGTTTTGCTGATTTGGATCTTGGGCACGGACATGGCACTGCTTGTCAGGCAATGCTGAGGCGGCTTCTCACATAGCACAACTAGAAGGACCTACACCTAGAATATGCAACTATGTACTGGAGGGGTTTGGGGAGAAGGAGAAGGGAAAAAAAGGATTGGCAACAGATGTTAGCTCAGGTACCAATCTAAAAAATAAATAAATAAATAAATAAAATCATATATATCTTAATTACATTATATATAAATGGACTAAGCATTCCAATTTAAAACTACAAAGATTACCAGACTAGACTTTTAAAGGCATCATATTGATATGCTGTTTAAAATATAAGAATCTAAAACATAAGGATGCAGAAAAGTTAAAAAAATAAAATGATAAAAAATATATGTCACACAAACATTAATAAAAATAACTTGCATAGCTATATAAATATTAAGTAGTGTAGATTTTGAGGCAAATAGTTTTATTAGAGATTGTATCACTCAGGTTTCTCCAGAGAAACAGAACAAGTAAGAATGATATATTACGTAAAGATAGATAGATAGATACACAGACAGGCAGACAGATAGACAGATAGATATCAAGAAATTGACATACATGATTGTGAGAGCTGGGAAATCTGAAATCCTGGAAGGCAAGCCAGCAAAATGGAAGCTCTGACAGAACGTAATGTTGCAGTTCACAGGAAGAATTTCTTATTTTTCAGGGAAACCTAAGTTTTTGCTCTTAAGGCCTTTCAACTGATTGGATGAGGCCCACAGAAATTGCCACATTTAATCTCCCTTGCTTAAAGTCAACTAATTCTAGATGGGAACTACATCTCCAAAGTACCTTCACAGCAACCAAGATTAGTATTTAATTAAATAAATGGGTATGATAGCCTAGCTTAATTGACATATGGCTAATCACCACAAACATAAAAAGGGAGTACTTTATAATGTAAGGCATTTAATTTACCAGGAAGATATGACAATTCTAAATTTCTATACATTCAGTAAGATGACCTCAAGATATGTAAAGCAAAACTTGATGGAGGGGCAACACAAAAGACAGAGAGACAAACCCACAGTTAGACTGCAAATTTTTTGTTTTTATTTAAAATCTCAGTAATAGAACAAGCTAAATATATAGGCAATTTTAAAAACAGGATTAATGAA